ACTTTTGGCTTACGCCTTTATTGCTAAAGCAGATAGCTATTCCTCCAGAAAGATGCGACAATTACATTTTATTTCCCAATTTTCGACAATTTTACAATTTATAAATGGTGAATCAAATGTTGCAGCAGACATGTTATCACAATTTAACGTGGATGGTATTCGCTCCACCAAGGAGTTTGATTTATTAGACTTTGCAGGTTTACAGGAGGATGATTTTGATCACTCTGAGTGTAAACGAAATTCAAGTTTATTAAAATGTGTGGCATTCGAACTCTACCACAGTTTGTGATACTTCGACTGGGACACAGACCATTTGTGCCAATGGTGTATGGGAAAAAACATTTTGATTGCTTCCATTCATTATATCATCCAGAAATCGGTGCTACCCTGAGACTGATTTCGGAAAGTTTTGTTTGGCCAAAATGGACTCAAATATAAGGCAGCAAACCAGAAATTGCTTACAATGTCAGCGCAGCGAAATTCACAAGCATACAATTACAGCACCGCCAACACTCAATCTACCCGATCACCGTTTTCAACATGCTCATGTTGATTTAGTTGGTCCTTCGGCCCCATATAACAGTTTTACCTATATCTTTACCACGGTAGACCGTTTTTCCAGGTGACCAATAGCATGCTTGGTAAAGAACATCTCAATAGAAAATGTTTCTTCCGTGTTTCCAGAAAGATGGATTTCTAACTTTGATGTATCTTCTACAATTAGGTGTGACAGAAGTTCATAGTTTCGATCGTACCTATTTAATAAATTTACATGCATCACGTCACTACAACAGCATACAATCCAGCCGAAATGGGCTAGTGGAGGGTTCTACAAACAACTGAAAAGCTCACTGATGGCACGGCTTGATGTAATCGAACGGAGCTCAGTCTCACCTCTGATTTTACTGAGTATACTCTCTACAATTGAAGAAGACCTTCAGTGTACACCTGCACATCTCGTTTATAGAACTAACTTAACGTTGACTAGTCAACTAAAAATTCAGAGACATGTACCTGTATGTATAGACCCTACTTATCTTTATCAGACTAATGAAGCAATATGAACAACATTGCCTGTTGCACATTGACCAGTTTTCTTAAAAAAAACAAATTAATAATCATCTAGATACATCTAAATTTGCATTTGTCCATGTTGATTAAGTAAGAGGTCTTTTGCAACACCCTTACGAAAGACCTTATAAACGTGTGCACAGACAAACAAAATACTTCACGTTTAAAATGAATGAAAAATACATTTCAAATGACAGGATTAAATCTGATTTTGTAGAGTGTGAAATACATGACGGCCGAAGGTAGTCTAAAGGTAGCAAGATTTGGAAACGTGAGCTTCCTTCATTTCCAGCCATTTCTTTATCCATTTCCAGGAAGTGATATAACGTATGAACTCGTAATATATATAAACGTGCAATTAGAGAGAAGTGAATTTATTGATCGGACGCAAATGATACTTGAAATCGTACGAGCAGTCTTGAGTGCTAACCGGTCTTGCGACCTGCCTAGCCCAGCCCGTTAAGTCCAGAACACAAATAACAGCCTCGGTAATACGAATCATTATTCACAAGCATACTGGGTTTATATACAAACCAAACAGACCAAATTATACCAAAAAATAGAAAAATAACATTTGTACAATAATTGGCCAATGTGGCTGTGCATAGGGGGAAAGTAATCAATAATAATAGTTCAAAGGTCAAAATAAAGGTTATGATAAGAGGAACACGAATACGATTAGGTCAGTTATTTAACAACTATGCAATAGGAAATAGGCATATTACATTTGTCCATAAATAGACCTCAGATTTATCATTCATAATTCACCAGGAGATATAACAGGAAGTTTGCATCCTTTGCAGTTGATGAAGTCAATGTTACAACCCCCACAAATTTACTTCTGTATTTCAGCTTTTTACTATTACCGTTTTGCTTTACTCACAAGCAGACACTCCATTTTGTAGTGTTAATCATCTTTTTGGTATGTCAATAGTAACTATGTGGATTGCTACATATTGAATAAATTCTTTTACCAGGACCCAAAAGGATACTGAGATTTCACAAATTTTCGGCAGTTGCACTAGCGAATGCTTATATCAATTTCATAAGGTCTGTTACAGTCAATGATAAATATCTAACCACCGTTTTCGCATTCCATATAAACATAGCGAATCCTCGTGAGTTCAAATAAAACCTTTATTTGTGCAAAAATCCAAGGTGACAAATAATCAGAACTACTCGTTATGATGTTTCATAATTATTGCTCTTACTGGCTATAATCATGCTTTCACTACTTCTCGTCGATGTTATGGCATTTCATCTGAAGACCTTTTAAATACATATTTTGCCCACAACCAATTATACTATTGGAATATCGACAGTTTATAAGTTTTCCCAGAAGTGGTCAAGTAAAGACGTTTTTAAGTTTCAGTTGAGATCAAACTCTGTAGCTGAAGCATTATATACAAAGTACAATAGTATTTTTCCTCACTTAGTTAATTTTATTTTGATCGTTTATTACTCACTAATGCTACTGTTTTCACCATAGTTCATTTCATTTCAGTTAAAGTAACAACAAGAGTACCGTTTTTATCGAAATTAATTTATCATCTGGACTCGAGGACATTGTTTCTTTCTGTATTTGTTGCAATTTTAGACCTCAAAGTCTACATTTTTTACTCTTTTTTTATGATCATCAGTTTTTTGTCTCTGGGTGTTGTTTTCTTTCAGTTATTTTTTGGAAGATCTCTTATTGATGACGAAACACTTCAAAAAAAAGCAATTGTTTACGCCTGGGCTGTTGATACCCTGTGGAAAGTGGCATGCAGTGTGACGAGTGCAAAGGCTGGTACTACGAAGTTTGCACGAATCTAACGTCTGTTTCTTTTAAGCAGTTTAGTAGAAATAAATGATTCGCATAGCAGAAGCTATAATTGGTGTTCTGGACTCAATTGGAAGGGCTAGGCGGACAAGGGACCAATGAGGACGCTTGACTGATCATACCAGTTGAACATCACTGATTTGCTACAGTGTTAAGATTAAACAAATCGTATTTCGATTGGCGGATAATTCACGTGATAAAAGCCGGAAATAAATATCATAACGAATTGGCAACTGCCTTCTTTTATAAAGCCATAACATTGAAAGAGGAATACAACTATTCACATTGTATATCTATCTCGTTGATCTATAGCAGTTCACATACAATTGAGTTTGTTCACATCTAATTTGGTTAAACCCTTTTGTTAACTTATTTAATGGACAGTCATTCGTGCAATAACAATCTATCTATACTATTGTACTTTTATGATGTACGCTTGAGTCTTGCTTACTGCTTGCGCATATATTCATTTCGCTAGCCTTAATATTAGTCACTTAATTGATTCGATAATTCATTCATTTCCATATGTATATATATGTACATTTTAATCTTGTTGACTGACTCGCTGACTCAATCGCTCATTTGGCTCGCACGCTTACTCGCTCGCTCTACGGCACTACTACTCTTTCATGCTTGTTTAACAGGCCTGTAATTTCGGATATCTGTGTGTGGTCCAATAAATAAACGCAATCAACACTTACTATTCACCTTCTGATTTATACACCGTTGGGACGTTATCAAGTAACGATTATCAGGACGAACAAATTACGAAGTTTAAGGATAATATCGCATACCGACCACCACAGAATAACGATTAACTTAATAATGAAGTTGTAGTATCAATTTATATGTTAAGCCCATATACTTTATTCTAGCTTCTGGCCAAGTCATTTTGCCTATCCATTATGAGTCATGTTTTCATCTTGTCAATTATTCACTTATTAATCTTAGTAGTTGTGTGTACCCTTCTTATCCTATTTATCATGTGTCTGTCATTTATTCTTGTCTGACTATAAATACTGATTAACGCTTGCTTAAAATGAGTTGACTTACCAGCCATCTCCAATGCGTGTCATTTTAAATTCCACTCGCTGATATTTAGTCATGTGCTCATGACTTTCTGGTCTGCGTCATTTATCAATAAAACTCTAGTTGCCACTTCTCTTTACCTTCTGATATTATGCACAGTTAAGATTAGTTTTATAACGGTTATCACGGTAAACGAGATTAGTGAAGCACCGTGCTACAAAGTTATTTCATATTGTCAAAATACTAATATCAATCTTCTTTCTAGAATACAAAATCATAAAAAGAAAATGCTCATTGTGTTATATTTTGTATCATAATTAGACTATATATTTACACTTAAAAATAAAAATAAAAATTCAAAATTTTTTTTATTTTGTTTACAAATAAACAAAAAAAACCCCGCTCACTGGTAGTTAAAATGTGAAACAATAAAGCTGTAAAATAAAAGATAAGAAGAATGAATAGTCAGAATACTTATCCTGATTATTTGAAGAAAACTAAAAGAAGAAGAAGAAGAAGTGATAGTATATGGTTCTCTTTAAAAATTAAAAAAAAGGGACAAAGAGGGAAGAAATGTATTGCGTAATACATATTAGTGTATTATTAATTACATACATGTTTAAATAAGCTGCTTTTTTAAGAGCACAATATTGTCGTTTGTTTGTCTATTTATTTGTTTGTTCGCTTGTTTGTTTGTTTATTCGTTTATTTATTTATTTATTTGTTTGTTTGTTCAAATGATGAATGTAATTTGTATGATCTCAATTTATTGATTATTAAAATATATTTGAATTATTAAAAAAACGCGGTTTATGAATTTAACAAACTGTATAAGGAAATAAGGTTTTCTATATTATTATTATTATTATTATTATTATTATTATTATTATTATTGATTATTGATCATTGTTATCATTGATTATTATTATTATTGATCATTGTTATCATTGATTATTATTATTATTGATTATTATTATCATTATTGATTATTATTATTATTGATTATTATTATTGATTATTAATTATTATTGATTCTTGATTATTAGTAATCAATTCAATTTTGAATTTTGAGTACAATTCATTTTATATATTTAAAATTACGTTTCATATACATTATTAGCTTATCTTTATTTATCATGAATATTGAATTTTTATTTGGCATTGAATAAAAATGATTATGAATAGAATTAGATTTTTTTAATAATGTTTTATTTAATTTAGATGTTGTTATACATTCATCATCTGTTGATGAAATATATTTTTCATCGGAAGTCATAGATTCTAATAAATTGGATTCAATTATATGATCATATTTACATGAATCATTAGGTTGTTTATCTAATGATGATTGTAATTGGAGATTTGAACTATAATTTATGAAATAAAAAGTTATAAATATTTCATCATTCATGTTATAATAATATATTGTTGAAATCATGAATCAATTGAAGCTAGACCACCATAGAAAACCTGGAACTCCTCAACAGTGCTCATCCACGATCCCGCCTCGTGAGATTCAAACTTATGACTTATCAATATCATGCGTGAGCGCTTAACCGATAAACCACTGACCTGGAAGTCATCCAACGGTGTTAATGTCTAATTTCAACTAATCCATGAAATTGAGCAACCATTCACCAATGTCTTCAATGAGTTGATATCTCCCAACAGACATAATTGAACTCCATCAGTTACTGCTTCTCACTAGAGCTCCAGGAAATACCTCATAGAGCCAGTCACTAGTGAGCATATGATCATTATTAGAAGGCGGTTTTGTGGAGATTTTAGTAATTTTATATAGTTGAAATCATGAGTCAATTGAAGCTAGACCACCATGGAAAACATCGAAGCACTGGACGGCCACTTTGTCCTATTGTGGGACTCCTCAGCAGTGCGCATCCACCATCCCGCTTCTAGCTTCAATAGACTCATAATTTCAACTATATAAAATTACTGAAATCTCAAGAAAACCCCCTTCTGATAATGTTATAATAAGTTAATTACTGCTGAAAAAATAATTTAAATGTGAAACAGTTCTGAAATGACGGACGTATCAAGATGTATCTAGTCTGTATTGAGTAGTGATATCAATCAGGCAATCTCTAAAACGTAAGGGAAATTAGACGGTTTTTTCGTCGTAGTTTAGTACTTTCCAGAAGTATGTACCCATGCCATCACTATGGCTCGAACTTAGGATGTTCCAGTCTTTTCGGGAACACATTACCTTCAAACCATCGAGTAAGAGTTTCCAACTTAAATCAATTATTAATGTTTGTCCTGCTGAAATCATTCCGTAGGATTAACTATCTACTTAGTAAATATAAACACCTTGTCCAAAGAATATTAAATACATAGAAAATTAATTTCGTTTTATCTTATCATTCCTACTTTTCATAATATGATCGAACAAAATTGACGTTCATTATACTATGATTTCAAAAATTAATTTTCAGCTGAATCAATTAATCTATGAAGTTGATAGGACTTCTCAAGCACTCTTTCATGAAGTCGACTTCTTAAATTTGTTACTAACTACGTTTTACTATCTCTTCTAAGCCTGCTTATCTGAATAATCAATTAGTGGGACACTTATTTCAAGAGAAGTAATAAACATCAATTCAGGTTACAGTCTAGAAGGATTTTTACGCTCAATCACCGTCGTAATTACTTCACATTTCAGAAATCAATGTTTCCAAGCGTTTTTGATTTAGTATTTTCGCCGAAGGATTCATGGCAAGGTCCTTCCAGCCCCTCTAAAAATAAATTAGATGAAAGTATTCCTCCTATTATATGACTTCATTTTTACCTCTACACTAATTTTCACTCATTAATTACTATTACTTACAAAGGATAGTATTTTCCCAATGTGATTATTATAGCACGAATTTGACCAATATCTTTTAGCATTTGAGGTCATTGAATGGATGATTTGATACTGCCTACAATTACAAGTTCAATATATATTTGCATAGAGGACAACAGTATGACCTACTAGGTGAATGAGTTCATATACGTGCTAATTTATTTAATAGATTATTATTGGAATATATATATATATATATATATATATATATATATATTGAGTCTAAGGATTTCTTAGTTTGCTCAAATCTCCCGGTGACATCGGTTACACGTATTTGGAATTCATCCACATATCACATGGACTGACTCCGAAAGTTACAATGGTGTTAAGTCAATAGTTAACCGAAATTTACTACCTACATGTAAAAAGATAATGAATTAGCCTGATAGACTGATGCTTACTTTGTCTCACCTCGAATCAGTTGGTAAATACGTGGTAGGATTTTTGAAATTTCCCAATTCATTCAAATCACTGGTTTGTTTTATACTTGTTAATTTAGAAAGCTCATTGGTTGTGTTGTGGTCTGTTAATTCACCAATTCCTAAAGTTGCTTCGATAGATGTATGTTCATGATTATTCATTTTATGATCTATTTGTATTGTCGCACTGTTTTTACGCTTTGGAGGTTGTGGTAATAATTTAAGAAATGATGAAGTGCCATTTCTTTCATTTGAGACTAAAGTGACGTCTTTGTTTTGATGTTCAGTTCCTTTGGAGCTTTGAAGTGTTTGTACGCAGTTCATATTGGAATTTATTGTTTGAAAACAATTGTTTTGTGAACATGTTTGATTCATCAACTGATTACTCGAAACTGTTGTTTCAAAAGCCATAGCTTCTAATGGACTATTTACTGCACTGATTGAGCGTGGCAAACCTGTCACACCAAATATTTGATCTTGGATACTAAGATTATTGCCTCCTTTCATTGACCAAGAATGTTTTAATGTTTTGAATTTATCTTGTAACTCAGATACCTGACAAAATAACATAGTTAACATTCAAAATTCCGACAACTGATGAATAGAACATATCTAACAAATAACCTATTGTCTGTGGGTGACGAAACTTGTACGAAGTGTACAAAGTAAATTAGATGCATGAATAGGGGATTTGTGTATCAGATGAAGAACTCATTTGTATTTGAGAGTTTACATATACTTCTAAGAATAACATAATGAAAGATTCTTACAGAATGACCAATAACTCTTAACAATGACTAGTGCTTGGAGAGAAGCCTATAAAATTCTATCGTCTTTGAGGAAGTTTTATTATGGTCTATCAAAATGAAGGCATATGTTTATTGGTTGTCCGTACAACAGTTCACAAATTTCTAAAGTTTGATAAGGCTGTACATAGCTATTATAAGGGATATTATACCGAGTAACCATCATAAGAACGCAATAATGTAATGATTGCTATCTTGAATAGAAGACAGGATGAATTATCATTTGTTTGTACATAATGTTGTAATATAAGATCTATGAAAAAAGTGAATGACTTCTATCCTATCTTAACTTAAAGATAGATAATATTGCCATTGTGACAGCTGATCACTAACTCCCGAGGAACATGAATAGTTACATTTTTAACTACATTATAATCATCAGATTAGCTGTGCAACAAATATTTTATAGCAACACTCCTAAAATTATATACAATGATTGATAGTGGCTAGCAGTGGAATCCACGACGCGCGTTTCGCCGTATTCGGGACTCGTCAGCTGGATGTACCTGCATCTCAGAGTTGATGTTCACTCTGGGACTCAAACCCAGTACCGTTCGCTTCAAACGCCATCGCATTATGTCAACAAGAGACTGATCAATTGCAGTCCTAAATAACAATGGAAAGATACAAGTAAACAACAACAAGGGAATATAACTCCTAAAATTAGTTTCGATTACGGTTAAGTTTTGTCAAGATCTTTTATTAACTCATTTAACAGATGATGTTATTCGGACAGTAACAGTAGGTCTATTTCTTTGTATTATTATTATTACTATCATGTCTGTATAAACGTGTATGCTTGAACACATGTGACAGCCTACGGGCATATCTCTCCCTAGCTAAAATGTTAATATCTTAAATATCGCTCGATGAATCATTCTCTTTCCCACGTATATCTGTACTCGAATCCTATTAATAGCATTTGCTTTGCCTTGTTGAGCCTTGATTCTATTTGACTATAAATTCACCTCTTTATTCGCTCACACATATAGATTAGCCTCTCTGCTTCAATTCGCTCGATATGCTTGTGACTTTGTTATCTGTGTTATCCGCTAATAAACTGTAGTAGCCACTTATTATAGCCTTCTAAGTTTAAACACCGCTTGAATTTATATAATAACGGTTATCAAGGTGATTGATCAACGAAGCTAAGCCACCAAAATTTTACTAACCTGGATTTTATAGTGGTGTTAAGTGAATTTAAGAACTATTTACTATAATATATATAGGCATTAGAAGATTAATATCACGTAGCCAAACAAAAGAGTCTATTAAGTTTATTTATTATTATTATTTATTATTATTATTAAAGCCGACAAGCAGAAATATATGGGAGAACTAGCAACGGCGGCAGAAAAAGCTGCAAGAGAAGGGAATATGAAACAACTATATGATACAACGAAGAAATTGGCAGGGAGATATAGCAAACCAGAGAGACCAGTCAAGGACAAAGAAGGAAAGACAATCACTGAGATTCAAGACCAGAGGAAAAGATGGGCAGAATACTTCGAAAAACTGCTGAATAGACCAGCCCCATTGAATCCACCGAACATCGAAGCAGCCCACACAGACCTTCCAATAGATGTCACTCCACCAACGATCGAAGAAGTCAAGATGGCCATCAGACAAATCAAAAGTGGGAAGGCGGCAGGACCTGACAATATACCAGCAGAAGCACTGAAGTCAGACATTGAAATAACTGCAAACATGCTTCACCATCTATTCAAGAAGATTTGGGAAGAGGAACAAGTGCCAACGGACTGGAAAGAAGGATATCTCATCAAGATACCAAAGAAAGGAGATCTGAGCAAATGTGAGAACTACAGAGGCATCAGTTTGTTATCAGTACCAGGAAAAGTTTTCAACAGAGTGCTGCTGAATCGGATGAAAGACGCAGTAGACGCTGAACTTAAGGATCATCAGGCTGGATTCCGTAAGGATCGGTCGTGCACAGACCAGATTGCGACACTACGGATCATCGTTGAACAATCAGTTGAGTGGAACTCATCACTATACGTCAACTTTATTGACTATGAGAAGGCGTTTGACAGCGTGGACAGGAGAACATTATGGAAACTTCTTCGACACTATGGAGTTCCTGAAAAGATTGTCAACATTATCCAAAACTCATACGATGGACTACAGTGCAAAGTGGTGCATGGAGGACAGCTGACAGATGCATTTCCAGTAAGGACCGGAGTCAGACAAGGCTGTCTACTCTCCCCATTCCTCTTCCTTCTAGTGATTGACTGGATTATGAAGAATTCGACATCTGAAGGGAAATACGGAATACAATGGACAGCTCAGATTCAATTAGATGATTTGGACTTCGCAGATGACCTAGCCCTGCTCTCTCATACACACGACCAAATACAGATGAAGACAGCAAATGTAGCAGCAGCCTCCGCATCGATAGGCCTCCACATTCACAAAGGAAAAAGCAAGATTCTCAAATGCAACACAGAGAACACCAACCCAATCACACTTGATGGCGAAACTCTGGAAGAGGTGGAAACATTCACGCACCTGGGGAGCATCGTTGATAAACAAGGGGGATCGGATGCAGATGTAAAGGCGAGGATTGGCAAAGCAAGGGCAGCATTTCTACAATTGCAGAACATATGGAACTCAAAACAACTCTCAACCAATTTCAAGGTCAGAATCTTTAATACGAACGTCAAGACAGTCCTACTGTATGGAGCTGAAACGTGGAGAACTACTACGACCATCATCAGGAAGGTACAAGTATTTATAAACAGTTGTCTACGCAAAATACTCAACATCCACTGGCCGGATACTGTCAGCAACAGCGTTTTATGGGAGAGGACAAATCAGCAGGTTCCAGCTGAAGAGGAAATTAGGAAAAGACGTTGGAAGTGGATCGGACATACATTGAGGAAATCACCAATGTGCATCACGACTCAATCCCTAACTTGGAATCCGGAAGTGAAGCGGAAAAGAGGAAGGCCAAAGAACACACTACGCCGGGAAATAGAAGCCGATATGAAAAGGATGAATAGCAACTGGAAAGAACTGGAAAGGAAGGCTCAGGACAAAGTTGGATGGAGAATGCTGGTGAGCGGCCTATGCTCCTCCACAAGGGGTAACAGGCGTAAGTAAGTAAGTAAGTTTATTTACATCCTTGCCATACTGTATTGATGTGTGATGATCATAGAGAATTCCAATTAAAATCCTACATGTAGGTAATTTGAACCCATTTTGTAATTATGATTTTTTTAATATTATAGTTGTAAGCAGTTGACGATAATCAAACAAAGTAAAATGAATACGTGTTATTTTGCTGAAATCTTTGTTCTTGCTCTCTTCGGCGAGACTATAATTTATGAACAACCTTTGAACGAATCTTAAGTGACCTTGGGAAATATTAGTCAATCAGTAAACAATATAGAGTAAAAATATGTTATACAAAACCAAAGAATTAAAGTGGATACACTTCTTTTACACGGTCAAGAAACCTGTCAAGGTTAGAAAGAGGTTCAAAGGTTTTAAAATAGTAGCGTATAAGGTAGAGGATCTCATCCATGTGGCTCCGGAATTCTTGGTCTCTGGAGTCGTGATAAGGTCACTAAAACCCTCTCGGCCTCCACTGCATAGCTTCATTATTGTTTGTGTGTACTCCAATTGTGTTAGCTTATCATTTTTATTATGGATATATCCCTACAATACTCTTACCACTGCACAGCCGAAGCTTCAGTAACATCTGCGATTATTGCAGAAACTGTTACTGGTGCTTTTATTATACAGTTCGCAGCAATGATTATAATATGCCTTAGTCTCAATCTACATCGAGCGAAAGAAGTTCCTATTCTAGTAGACGTCTTCCTCCAACATATATCACATCGAAGGACAACATCAAGGTAGTCTGCACAAGGTCCATAAGTCATTTGATTATCGCAATTACAAATAAAGAAACTTCTTAGTAGTCCCATTTATTGTAGCCGCTTAATTGTCATGTCTTCTCTGAAATCCTCTGTGAACCGATCGTATAGGAGCATCAGGTACAGAGGTTGGCGCCGTGACCTTGAAATCCTCCATATGCCTTTGATTGGCTCGTCCACAAATTATAGTCTCGCCTGAATCTACACGAAATACAGATAGGTTAATAAATCAAGTAAAAATTCTTGAATCACTTGAATACGTTTCTTTATTTCAGTGTTATACTTTTATTATCAAAGTTCTTTAAATGAATTTTCTCTCCCTGAAAGTAATAATGAGTTCGAATAGGGAAGTATATTACCAAAAACACTTAACCTATGCTAATAGTGTTCTTTATTTATACAACTCAGATCTTGAGTAGCACTACATTTATGACAAACTCAGTCAGTCAGTTATGGGTATGTGGGCTAATATCACTTCCCGGCTACCCACACCGTGGAAGGATATTTCTTGAGGGACCTGAAAAGGAAGTTGGATTAGTGTTGGGCTTAACGACCTGGGAGCATGACCTCAGTGCTCAAGGGATAACTGCTTGAGGCCGGTCACGTAGAGCTTTTTTGTGAGTAATGTTCTTGTTATCTCCGTTCTTCAAAGGACCTTACCGCCGGAGACAGAAATCCATGGGATAAGGCGAGGTGTGCATTATTAGGGTCGACCTTTTCTAACTCCAACCCTCCTTGTGGGAAGGCAGCATCGCTGTCATGTTGGTTGTCTGAAGGAAACACCTTACTGCCGTCACACCTCTGTACAGTCGGCAGTACGACTTCGCCTTCGGACCTTGGGATTGCTGCTTTTAGTCTTACCGCTCTTCAACCGACCTGTCTGGCATGGTAGGACCTTGAGGAACGATTGTTCCAACCAGTATTGCTCGATTGGTTCATCACGACAGGCAAGCCTGACAACCACCTCAAGGTAGTAGCAACGGTCGGGTTTATGACAAACTAGAATGTAATGAATAGTCGATAACTATTTAAAATTCTGTTACTTCTTTCAATGATTTTGAATTCTTACCTCTTTTCTATTGGCTAATTGTAGAAATCCATCATCTTCTAAATTAGTAGTTTCTTTGGAAGTAATATGTGAATTATTTGAATTTAAAATCTTACAATTTTCATTAAATGACATTGGAATACTTGATTTATTTGTTAAATATGTTGAATAAGGTGTATTAAATTCAGATTTTATTGTATTCATTTCATCTATAGTTCCTGTTAAAGCTGAAATTGATCTAGGCATTCGAAATGGATTAGAATTGCTTAATGGTTTATAATTTGTTTCATTATTTGGATTAATTGAATTATTCCATCCAGAAAATGATAATGAATTAAGGACATTTTGATCGGTTATTAATTTATTACCAGACTGTACACTAAATGATGCTGAATTAGGTAATAATCGTCGATCTGAAATAAACTACAAAATCAAAAGATACATATACCATAGTATAATAATGAAAATCCTTACATTTTTATGTCATTCAAAACAATTCCATGCAGACTAATAGTTTCTAATTGTGTTCTATGTTCAATAAGTGCGCAAAGTGTAAAACATGACGGACTTATCTGTTAAAAATACTTTGACAATAATTTTATTTACACTCCATTTTCCCTTGTTTGAAACATTCCAGATAGTTCTGAGTAATTAGGCCTTCGATCTGTCTGCTGTTTTACAAAGTTTCATTAACCACAAATGGCTTCCTCAAGTAGTATGCATAAACGATTTCTCCCAAATTAATTTCATCAGAAATTATCTGGAGAGTTAATCAGTAGTCAGAAAACACAAAAAGACTACAAACGATCGATGTTTTCATCAACACATAAGGCTGATGATCGCTCAGGACTTGGCACATCCTTTCAGTTTTTTATGACTCTCACTTAGATGATTAACTTATCTTGGGAAGAGCTATTTTCTTCATCATGTTATCACAATAAATAGATCTAAATATTTCATAGATTTTCTGAGTTTATACTATTTTTATCGAGTATCCTAAAAAAAAATTCAGTTCGCATATTAAACAAGCATATCAAACACACTTCGAATTGACTTTACCACATCGAAAAATTCTTTAATAAGTAATAATTAAACGGTACTGTGTTAAATATTCAAGATGATCAAAGTCCTTGTCGTACAGTACTAATAAACACTAAACCATTATGTACATTATTGTCGAGAGCTAATTAAATCTTATTTGCAAAAATAGGTGGTTAGAATCACCTATTTTAAATTTAATTGCTTTTAATCAGCTTACTAAATTTCTAAGTTCTAGTTAAGTGACAGCTGTTGCCTATCAACTAGACAACTATTTTATCTTTAAAATGATCAATAATGTTACAAAATTCAAACCTGAAATCGCTCAATGATGTAATTGAAATACAAGTTGGTAAATAGACAAGAGTGAGAGTATTCTTATTTAAAAAAGTTCTTATTTTAAGGTAACTTGTTTAGAAATCCTAAAGAAATCATCATCTATGATCACATTCGGTTATATACGTGATTACAGTAATTAGAGATCGTTTCATCTTTGTTTACCCTAGTTTAGTTACCGTAATACTTAGTGGGAAGTAAACTTTGTAAAAACCTATTGTAGCTTGCAAAGAAGCTGTTGTAACGTTGAGTTTATGCTTATGTTGTGTCAATAGTCATGTTAAGCTCATGTAACTTATTCTGGCTTCTGGACGAGCCAGTTTATTCATTCTTCTTGAGTTACATTTTGACCTTATCAGGCTTGACTGTTTTTATGCAAGCGTATGTGTGTGAATTTCTTATCTTACTCATAACATGTCTGTAGCTTGTTTTTCTATGACTATAAATATCGATTAACGCTTGTTTAGATTGAGTTGGCTCACTTGTCTTTTCTAATGCATGTCATTTAGTTTCGCTTTTCTCTCTTCTTTTCGCTTCTTTCGATCCATCTCCTTGATTGTCTGTTCAGATCAACGATTATATGAAGTATACACATTGAAAATTCATTCTCATATTTGACTGATTTAATTCCGTTACTTACTAACGCGATTTAAGTCGATCATAATATACGAGGGTAGCCGGGATGTATATTTTAATAATTTCATAACAATCATTCATACAATCAAATTAGAGTCAGATCTCGGGTCACTAAACTTACAAGAGATATGATTACAAGATAGTTCAGATTGTAGATTATCTTTTAAGATTCGATTTTCATTATAGTTAATTCATGCTTTTTAAATAGTTAAGAATAAGTATTAATGTTTAGACTAATTAAAATAAAAGTTGATAAAAAATTTTTTTCTTCTGTACATCGAACATGGGAGGCGAAACCCGACTCCTTGTCATGCCTCCTGCATAGTGGGACTGTTTCCATGGACTAACGTGAGCTGCAACCCAGTTGGTGGAGATGGGCCTAATCATCCACTCTACCTATACCCGCAAATGACTACGAATGTTACAAAGAATCATTGCACAATTATTATTACCTCAAAAAGAAAGAAAGAATGAGTCTGTTCAAAAAATAAAAAAAAAGATCTGCAAAAAAAGATGTAATGATTCTGAGTAAGCGATTCAAAAACAGCTATTGAGCCCCGGTAGTTGTGCCGTGCTTTGATGTAGCATTCTTCTCTAGAAGCGCCTACTAAGCTTCACCATGTTACTATGGCTGGAAGGGGGAGGAACAACGAATATACTATTCGATCAACTGTATGAATGAAAATTATATTTATCTTTTGTTAAATGGGGAGGCGAAATCCGATTCATACGTCCTTGTCGTGCCTCATGGATCATGGCACTAATCCCATGTACTAACGTGAGCGGTAACATGGGTGGTGGAGATCACCCTAATCAACCACTCTACCTATACCCATCAATGATTACGAATGCTACAAATAGTCATTGCATAATTATTGAAGGTTCAAAAAACATGGAAAAAATGAGTCTGCCCAAAAAACAAAATGAAAGTGTTATGTAATGATTCTGCGTAAGCAATGCAAAAACAACTATTGCGTCCTGGTAGTTGTGCTGTGCTTCAATGTGTTTCATGAAATGAGATCATTGTTTATTGAAGTGAACATTTATAGAATACTTACTTTATCATTTCCAGTAGTGAACAATTTACTTTGATTCATTGATATATTTACATTATTATTAAGATTGTTTGTATTTGTTGATTGAATAATTGGATGGTTATTATTATTATGTTCTATTTTATTCGATGTCAATAATTCTAAACGTTCTAAACGATCAGACATTTGATTTAACCATGTACGTAAATCCCAATTTTGACGTACAAGTTGTTTAATACAATGCTTGATTTGGAAAAAGAAACAAAAGTGATAATTAAGAGGATAATTTTATAGCTGAATTCATAAATCAATTGAAGCTAGACCACTATGAAAAACATGGAAGCACTGGACGGCCGTAGCATCCGGGTCTGTTGTGAGACAGTAATTCACTGAAGACAATGATGGACGGTTGCTCAATTTCGTGAATTAGTTGAAGTTAGACATTAATATCGTTGGGTGCCGGCCGGTTCAGTGGTTTAGAGGTTAAGCGCTCACGCGCAACACTGATAGGTCATGCGTTCGAGTCTCATGAGGCGGGATCGTGAATGTGCACTGCTGAGGAGTCTCACACTAGGATGAAACGGCCGTCCAGTGCTTCAAGGTTTTCCATGGTGGTCTAGATTCAATCGACTCATGAATTCAATTATAAAATTACTAAAATCTCCACAAAACTCCTTCTGATAAAGATGATAAGACCACAATTTATGGACAACTTTCAAGTAACGCTAAAATGACTTTGAAATGTCTATCTACTTAATAGGGTTATATGTTAGCGTAAAGAACTAGGATTAGGATTTGCAGTTGGATATTAGAGTTAGGATTTAGATTTAATGTTTTCATCATGAACGGATATCAGCTATAATGTCAAAATGGTATTCAGTTAGATTAGTGAATGAATTTCACACTAAAATCGATGACCTGTTATCTTAAAACTGATTAGTTCGTCCATAAGTTATAATCTCGCCTCCAAAGAGTATTGGACAACTGTTTTATCCTATTTAAGTCCGTCTTTGAAATATGCACTGACGACTGTATCTGGGATTGAATTTGAGGTAGAAGTCTAACTTTTCTAGCACAAGACCAAAATCTAATGGTTCATATCTATAGCCTAAAATAATTTACAGTATAGCGCGACTGTTAAACCAAACAAAAACAGAATTTAGGAATAAATGTAAATGTGGCACAAACTAAAGTCTGTAAAACCAATTTTCAATTAGGAATTTTTGCCCAAATTTCACCATTTAAAACTTTAACCAGTACAATCCACATGGTTGTAGATAATCAAACAATCAGATGACATAGACTAATAGTCCTACTAAATATTTTTAGTCGAATGTTTGTTTACAGAATTTAGTGCCCAAGTATATGGATAATAAGGGATTCAACATCTGTTTCACTTCCTTGGAAATCTCTACCGCCAAACAATTAAATGAATAGCAACAGATAATATTATGTAACTGAGACTTTATTAATTAGTTTTCAAACGTTTCACTAGTTATGTAATAGTTTTTTAATGTGTAGTATATATATATATATATATATATATATATATATATAGTGGTTCTGTGGAGATTGTTGAATTGTCATCGCCTAAGTCACAGACTGTGATTTCAATCAGACAACTAACAAAGTTAGGAATCATCAAAAACAGCCGTTTGCTCTTAATATGGGATTCTTCAACAATGAGAATTTATGATCTTATAGTGGATCGGAATTTAAATAATCTAGTCATCAGTTCATGATATCAATCAACCATATTTTAGTGTCATTGGTAAGTATCTCTCTCACATCCGACATAGTTAAAATTCGCTGGTAATAGAATCTCGCTACATCTATAAGAATTATCTCTGAAGATTAAGTGCTCTTAGTGAGACCTGAAGTTTCTGGTTCAATTCTTGATAGGGTTGTGAGTATGTACTTCTAGGCAGTTCCATGCTAGAATGAACTAGTTGTTTAGTACTCCCTGTTTCTCAGTGTTTTTATAATTTAGGTCAGTCCTTGATGTGAACCATAACAAAATCAAATCTTTTCTAAGACTCTCATCATGGTAGTTAAATATATATTAGATGACATATTTACATAACCCTGATTGATTTGAATGTGTATTACGAACTCATTTGTTTACTTTATTATGAATATTTATCTTTCAAAGGTCTTGTTACCAGTTCTTATGAATTAAGTCAATAAATACAAATCAAATAAGGTCAAAAAGAATAATATAATCAAGGTAGATCAGGTTAACTGCTTAGATATCGGAAATTAAACAGTTTTTACTTGATGTAAACTGGTATCCACAGAGGAATTAGGGAGTATTGGTTTATTTGATTGATATTGACAAAGACTGTTAATATTTGTCATTTCAGAGAATACTGTACCAATTGATTTTTGGTCAGTGGACAATGTTTCTGGCAAGGCACTATCAGTCAATAGAGTGTTGGATAAATTATTTGGACTTTGTAAAGAACCTGTAAATTAAAGAAAGGAAACAACATTTAGAGAAGTATTGATTTTTCAAGGCAGATAATAAATATTTTCTAAGTCAAACTGATGAGTGAAATCAATATTTTGACTGTAAATGTTCATAAACAAGATCCATCTCTAGGACACCTATCTTACCGATTGTTGACATGTATATTTTACAACTAAGGTGATCGTAAGCGTTGATTAGTACTTTGTTTGCACATTAATGAAATACATTCAGGTGATTTATGAAAATCTCAATGAAGCTCATTTGTATGAAAAGTGAGTCATCACCTATGTGTGTGATTAATTTCTCACCATGTCTCCAATCAAATCAAGTTAAAGATGTCTATCATCCTTATCCCTACTTGAGTTTGAATATGTTTAAATTACTAAGCCCTTTAAATCAACTTACTCGACAGACCGTATTGCTTATATCAGTAATTACTTGCCTATCTTTTGCCCATTTATTCCCATGGTTGTTTGGACATTTGTGGTTGATGTTGTGTTATTGTAGTCATAATCACTCCTATTACTACCTTAAAGGGTAGTTACTTAAATCGCTTAATGACTCATTCACACGCTTGATATATGTGCTAGGACTTCACTTGCATTGTTATTTGATATTCTAACTCGCACTTTTCTCTCAAACTCGTGCCGTGTGTTACTGATCTTTTGACCTGTGCTGTGCTAAAATAAAGTAGTAAACTCTTCGTATTTACCTTCTGAAGATTATACAACCTTAGGAATTAGTGTAATAACGGTTATCATCAGAGCAATCGATGTACACTGTATGGAAGTTATCTCGGGAATATAACACTACAGATGAGCATCATATAATATCAATTAGGTTGTTGTCGGATTTATAACCATTCATGAAAACTGAATAACTCCGCCTGTAGCTCTTCTAGAGTTACTGCCGGTCCCAAGCCCGGGTAAAGGAGGAGGGTTGGGCATGGGGTTAGCGACCCCATCCCGTAGAAAAGCTAACTCGCTAAAAAAACGCTAACCAGAAAAAATAATTCAAACCATTTAAACTCTGCCCTGGCACTTGAAGGAATAATTATGACGTCTCATGATGAAAGCCGAAATTTTTCGGAAGTCACGAGACCGATGCACCTTCTAACAACCAGAGCAACACTCTTTATAGGTACATGGAACATCCGGACAATGTGGGAGACAGGAAAGACCAGCCAAATAGCAATGGAAATGAGGAGATACAAATTGGCAGTACTCGGAATCAGCGAAACCCATTGGACACAAACTGGACAACAAAGGCTAGGTACAGGAGAGATGCTGCTGTACTCCGGTTACGAAGAGGAAAATGCTCCACACACTCAGGGAGTTGCTCTAATGCTGTCCAAAGAAGCACAAAATGCACTTGTGGGATGGGAATCTCATGGACCCAGGATAATCAAAGCATCATTCAGAACAAAGAAGCAAGGGATCACAATGAGCGTTATCCAATGTTATGCACCCACCAATGATAGCAACGACGATGATAAAGATCAGTTCTATGAAAGGCTGCAATCAATTGTAGCAAAGTGCTCAAGTAAGGACCTCACCATCCTTATGGGAGATCTAAATGCTAAAGTTGGAGTGGACAACACAGGATATGAAGATATAATCGGACGACATGGACTAGGAGAAAGAAATGAAAATGGGGAGAGACTTGCAAACCTATGTGCTTTCAACAAATTGGTTATAGGCGGCACAATATTCCCACACAAACGCATACACAAAGCTACATGGATCTCGCCGGACCACAACACAGAGAATTGGACAGATCACATCTGCATCAACAAAAAATTCCGAAGATCAATGGAAGATGTGAGAACCCGGAGAGGAGCTGACATAGCTTCAGGTCACCACCTGGTTGTGGCCAAGATGAGACTGAAGCTTAAGAAAGACTGGACAACTGGACAAACAGCACTACAAAGATTCAACACAGCCTTCCTTCGAGATACTGACAAGCTCCATGAATTCAAGATAACTCTCAACAACAGGTTCCAAGCTCTACAGGATCTACTGAAAGAACAAGAAACTACTTTGGAGGACAACTGGAAAGGGATCAAAGAAGCACTAACTTCAACGTGTCAGGAGGTTCTTGGTCCTAAGAAGCATCATCACAAGGAATGGATCTCTCTGGGAACCCTGGACAAAATTCAAGAAAGGAAGAACAAGAGACTAGCAATTAACAACAGCCGAACACGAGCAGAGAAAGTCAAAGCACAAGCAGACTACGCAGAAGCAAACAAGCAAGTGAAGAAAAGCTTTAAAGCCGACAAGCAGAAATATATGGGAAAACTAGCAACGACGGCGGAAAAAGCTGCAAGAGAAGGGAATATGAAACAACTATATGATACAACGAAGAGATTGGCAGGGAGATATAGCAAACCAGAGAGACCAGTCAAAGACAAAGAAGGAAAGACAATCACTGAGATTCAAAAACAGAAGAAAAGATGAGCAGAATACTTCGAGGAACTGCTGAATAGACCAGCCCCATTGAATCCACCGAACATCGAAACAGCCCACACTGACCTTTCAATAGATATCACTCCACCAACGATCGAAGAAGTCAAGATGGCCATCAGACAAATCAAAAGTGGGAAGGCGGCAGGACCTGACAATATACCAACAGAAGCACTGAAGTCAGACATTGAAATAACTGCAAACATGCTTCACCTTCTATTCAAAAAAATTTGGGAAGAGGAACAAGTGCCAACGGACTGGAAAGAAGGATATCTCATCAAGATACCAAAGAAAGGAGATCTGAACAAATGTGAGAACTACAGAGGCATCAGTTTGTTATCAGTACCAGGAAAAGTTTTCAACAGAGTGCTGCTGAATCGGATGAAAGACGCAGTAGACGCCGAACCAAGGGATCATCAGGCTGGATTCCGTAAGGATCGGTCGTGCACAGACCAGATTGCGACACTACGGATCATCGTTGAACAATCAGTTGAGTGGAACTCATCACTATACGTCAACTTTATTGACTATGAGAAGGCGTTTGACAGCGTGGACAGGAGAACATTATGGAAACTTCTTCGACACTATGGAGTTCCTGAAAAGATTGTCAACATTATCCAAAACTCATACGATGGACTACAGTGCAAAGTGGTGCATGGAGGACAGCTGACAGATGCATTTCCAGTAAGGACCGGAGTCATACAAGGCTGTCTACTCTCCCCATTCCTCTTCCTTCTAGTGATTGACTGGATTATGAAGAATTCGACATCTGAAGGGAAATACGGAATACAATGGACTTATCAGAATCAATTAGATGATTTGGACTTCGCAGATGACCTAGCCCTCCTCTCTCATACACACGACCAAATGCAGATGAAGACAGCAAATGTAGCAGCAGCCTCCGCATCGATAGGCCTCCACATTCACAAAGGAAAAAGCAAGATTCTCAAATGCAACACGGAGAACACCAACCCAATCACACTTGATGGCGAAACTCTGGAAGAGGTGGAAACATTCACGTACCTGGGGAGCATCGTTGATAAACAAGGGGGATCGGATGCAGATGTAAAGGCGAGGATTGGCAAAGCAAGGGCAGCATTTCTACAATTGCAGAACATATGGAACTCAAAACAACTCTCAACCAATTTCAAGGTCAGAATCTTTAATACGAACGTCAAGACAGTCCTACTGTATGGAGCTGAAACGTGGAGAACTACTACGACCATCATCAGGAAGGTACAAGTATTTATAAACAGTTGTCTACGCAAAATACTCAACATCCACTGGCCGGATACTGTCAGCAACAGCGTTTTATGGGAGAGGACAAATCAGCAGGTTCCAGCTGAAGAGGAAATTAGGAAAAGACGTTGGAAGTGGATCGGACATACATTGAGGAAATCACCAATGTGCATCACGACTCAATCCCTAACTTGGAATCCGGAAGTGAAGCGGAAAAGAGGAAGGCCAAAGAACACACTACGCCGGGAAATAGAAGCCGATATGAAAAGGCTGAATAGTAACTGGAAAGCACTGGAAAGGAAGGCTCAGGACAGAGTTGAATGGAGAATGCTGGTGAGCGGCCTATGCTCCTCCACAAGGGGTAACAGGCGTAAGTAAATAAGTAAGTAAGTAAGTAATGAAAACTGAATATTTTCGGTTCGATCTGTAAATACGTCATGCTCTCAGACTTCTGAGGAGTCCTAATCTAGATCAAATGGTTTTCTAGATTTCCCTGGGTTTGGGTGGTAACTCTATAATGAATATCACTTACAAGCTGGTGTAGCTTCATCAAAAACCTCCAACCAAACACACTTTGATTGGTAAATAAAGTATAATCTAAGCTTGGGATGTAATTGGTTTGCTTAAGCGAGACGATGAATCCTCAATATCCTATTAGCACAACAAAGTACTAATAAGTAGGCTAAAAGAAACTAAATGACAAACTAAAGTCACATAGTACAAATGTAAGTATCAGTCACATTTACAGTTCTCGGCATGCGTCCTACGACTAGAATACACATATACAGTACAAATCCAAAAAGGTGTAATGAAGCGACATTTTCAAATTTAGCATTCCTATCTTTCAGCTAACTAAATAACTGTTTCTTTACCTCATTTAGCTAGACCGTATATTAATCAGGAGTCTTCGCCACAGACGTTGCTGGGATGTCAAGAGTAAAACTTAAGAATAGGAACAGTATTTACAAGTAACCTACATGGTTGGATATTGATCTTCAATATTGTTGTATTTTGATAGATTACTTAGAAAAAAATGTTACATCTAAAAAACTGTCGAACATCGGTAATCCAATGATGTTAGTCTAATTCAGAACTTTCGGTACTAAAGCATTATCTACCCGCTCTTCCGTAACTAGGATAGCCTCAAAGTGGCACTATTTGTAACTGAGATTGATACACTCTTTTCTTTCTTCCTCCTTATAAAACTCGATTAATCTAATAGTTAGAATTAAAAGACATCTGAGTAAATTACTTTGTCAATAAAGATGAGAATTAACTACCTCGGTAAGTGTTATGCCCCGATAACAATAGTGAATGGTAACTTTGGGATCCATTTATGGACCAATATTATGCATATAATTTTTATCGTATATGTGCTTAATAATTAAACTACTCATATTCATTTTCCTTTCATTGTGAGCTTTATTTTGACCCTTGGGCATCCACTTGGTCACAAGATATAACAGTAAGTCTGTTTGAATTAATTGTAGAGGATATATCAAATCTTTGATGGAATGATGTCTGATAGTTTATTTTGATAGATGCTTAATACGGAGTCTAATATTATAATATAATATATGCTTTATAATGTTTAACGTTAAATAATGTTAAGTTATGGTAAGCAAAGATGGTTAGCGGCTAGCAGTGGAATCCAGGACGCGCGTTTCGCCCTATTCAGGACTCGTCAGCTGGATGTACCTGCATCACAGAGTTGATGTTCACTCTGAGACTCGAAGCCGGTACCTTTCGCTTCAAACGCCATCGCGCTTTCCACTCGGCCACTGAGTCTTGATAGCCACTTGCTTGTGCGATGGGGTGAAGTTTAAATTCATTTAGTATTGTTTGTTTGAATCTTCCCATCGATGTGTGAGGGCTGCAACTGGTCAGTCTCTAATTGGCTGATGAGTCCAAAATAGGAAGAAACGCGCGTCCTGGATTCCACTGCTAGCCACTATCCATCTTTGCTTATCATGCTTCTGAATTAAGGCTATATAGAGGCAATACGCACAGTATGCACATATGCCAATTAGAGACTGACCAGTTGCAGTCCTAACACATCGATGGGAAGATTCAAACAAACAATACTAAATGAATTTAATGTTAAGTTATTCCTATTTTGATCAGTGTTTTCAGCAAATTTACTTTTGAACTACAAATCCACAATATTTAAGGTATTAGCTGCTCGGATTCAGGACTTCCAAAACTAAACATAACGTTAATTGCATTAGTTGTTTGAATCTTCTCATTGATTTTTAGCATTTCATCTGATCGATCTCTTTGGTGAATCTTATGTAAATTGCCTCGATAATTGCATTGAGTCACAATAATTTCTAAGTAGAAATGGATGGTGATTAACAGTGAAATCCATGACGCACGTTTTGTCCTATTCAAGAAAGCGTTTTATGTTTGGGTCCCGGAGTGAATATCAACTCAGATGCAAGAATACTTAACTGGCGATTCCCAAATAGGGCAAAACGCGCATCCTGTATTTCACTGCTAACCACTATCCATCTCATCATATAAACATAAATTCATTGTAAAATTCAATATACCTTGACCTACACATTAACACCGTTGGATGACGGCCGGCTCAGTGGTCAGTCGGTTAAGGGCTCTGGCTCGAGACTGGTAGTTCCTGGGTTCGAATCTGGCGAGTGCGGGATCATGGATGCGCACTGTCGAGAAGTCCCATAATAGAACGAAACGGCCGTCCAAGGCTTCCAGGTTTTCGATGGTGGTCTAGCTTCAATTGACTCATGATTTCAACTGTAAAAATACTAAATTCTCTACAAAACCCCCTCTGATCTATAATCCTTAAATGTCGAATTAACAAGTATTCAACACGAAAAATATAACAAAAGAATGAAACAAAAAAATCTTTAAACACTCCAAAACAAATTTTAAAAAAATTTTTCAATTTACTTTCATTGAGCAAATCTCTAGCAACATTTGTATCCAACGATCTACTTTGATGCATTCTTCTACCTTGTTCTAATAATAAAGATGTTGAAGCTGTATTTTCAGTAAATAATGATAATAATTCTTTTGTAAATAAATCGGTTTTCTCATTTCTATCTTCACCAGTTTGTAACATCCATACTAAATCACGTGTTGTTATACTTGTTTTTAATTTAGTACTTTTATGTGAACTCGTAGGTCGTCGTTTATGATGTTTATGATGTTCATGTCTATGATGTACTTGTAATTTTTCTTTAGAACATATTGAACTTAATGAACTCCCATGTGATATAGAATGATCTGTTAATATACGACTATTCACAGATGAATTAGATGTGATTGTTTGTTTAGATGATTTCGATGTTTCTGAATTATCTCTTGAATGATTATGAATACATGGTGAGGATTCGGTTTCAGAACCACTTGAAAATTTAGATGTATGCTTTTTTCTGTAAGATTTTTGTTGATTTATAATTGACTTAGACTTGTGACAAGATTTTTCTTGTTGATCATGATCAATATTGATCAATTCAATAGATTCATGGATCAATTCTACAGGTTCTATATCAACTAATGTATTATCTGTTTTGTTTAAATCATTTAAAAAATCTTTTGTTTTATAAGATTTCTTGATTTCATTTTCTTTGTTTCCTTTGTCAACATCATTGTCACCATGATCGTTTATAGTAGAATCATGAGTAGTTTTCTTATCTCTATACTTTTCTATTTTACGATCATTTTTTAAATTAACCACTTTTTCTTGTTTTATTGTTTTATGTTGTTTAAATTTATGTTTTGATTTTGTTTTATGATGATTTAAATCACCATTATGTTTTGTTGATTTATTTAAATCATCTAATTTATTACTACTATCAGTATGGTTAATAGTAGTATTAGTTGTCTTTTTGTCAGATTTTTCTATATTCTCTTGATCAGATTTATTATTTTCATCAACATTATTATCATTATTATTATTTTCCGTTGTTTCTGGTTGTTGGCCTTGTTTTTGTAAAGCGATTCGATGACAAACATCAAATGCTTGACCAACTGTTCTGACTATTCGCATAGCTTGTAACTAATAGGAATGAAATAAATATACATATATATGCTCAAAAGTTAGTTGAAATTGAATGAGTTCATGTTTGTTAAAGAAGACTTACATACAGTTGTACGAATATTTGTCAATATTAGGATGGATAGTTTAATAAAAATTAGGCTCCCAATATAGAGAAGTCATTATATTTGATGAAATAATCTCAGCGATTGAAATTTAAATAATTCCAACGTTTCGTCTAGCAAACTTGTCTGGACATACATTAATATAAATTAACCAAGATAGAAAATATAGACTACTATCTTTTGACTGAATTGTCTGAATGTGTTGATCTCATTGTCAGATGAGTTAAGGTTGATAAATACACATTACCAAAGTGTTTCAAATTAACACAAGGGGGTTTTGTGGAGATTTTAGTAATTTTATATAATGCCGAAATCATTAGTCAATTGAAGCTAGACCATCATGGAAAACCTGGAAGCACTGGATGACCGTTTCGTCCTATTGTGAAACATCTCACCAGTGCTCATCCACTTTCCCGCCTCGCGTACTGGTTGAGGTTAGACATTAACATCATTGGATGCCGGCCGGCTCAATGGTCTATCGGTTAAGTGCTCTAGCGCGAGACTGGTAGGTCCTGGGTTCGAATGTCGCGAGGTGGGATCGTGGATGCGCACTGCTGAGGAGTCCCACAATAGGACGAAACGGCCATCCAGTACTTCCAGGTTTTCCATTGTGTGTCAAATTAAGCTGAAGCAACAGTTCAGTACTTATTTACAAATATGTACTATTTTTATTTAATCATTATTTCTGTCGATTCATCATATTTATTATTCATCATATATATAGTGTTCGTCAGCATTCGGAATCCGAATTTATATTCCTCTATTTTCCTTTTCTATTTATTCATCTCTTTGTTATATTACTTGGTGTTTTTTCATTGGATTGAGTGGTCTATAAATTTATCTGGTTGTTATAGTATATACTCAAAAGTTAATTTCTTTATACGGTACACACTTTCCATTTTAACAATATACTGAATTCCTGTTTGTTAGTCAAATCCTTCATCATTCATGATAAAATTCATTAGTAATGTACATTCTCTCTTATCAGTAGTGTTTAAAATCATTCTTATAAATGTATATATTAAATGCCGAAAATCTACCTACACATCATTTACTGTTGTTAACATGGAAGCTCGCGAAGGTTGTTCAATTCAAAGTCAGTTCCCACAACTAAATGAAATCAGTTGAAGAGCCTATGAAAACACCAGGAGGTACATGATAGTCACTTCATTCTAGTTTGGAAATCTTTATTTCAATTTATGACAATTCACTGAGGGTAAAACCATAGCCTTGCACTATCATGATAATCATGATAGCTTAAAATTATTTAGTTTATTTTTCTTAACATCTATCTATATACAGTTTGTTTGGTCATCGTTTGTTTCTACTATCGGACGATATCTGCCCTACTTATAATGTAGCCAAAAATAAGTATATGAACAAATGCCCCCATTTTTAACCATAAAAGTCATACAATTTGTTTCAAATTATAAAATTGTTACATAAAATTGTTTTAATCAGTAGGATTCTTAGATTCACAAAGTTAACTTTTTATCACCTTGTAACTATAATTGATCTTCTGAAGTTTTCTAAGGAAAAGAATGTAAAATTCTCAGTTACTATACAAAACTTCAAGATCAATATCATGAATGGGAAGCATCATTGATAAACAAGGAGAATCGGATGCAGATGTAAAAGCGAGGATTGGCAAAAAAAGGGCAGCACTTCTGCAATTGAAGAACATATGGAGCTCAAAACAGCTGTCGACTAATTTCAAAGTCGGAATCTTCAATACGAACGTCAACATAGTCAGTTCTACAGTGCGGAGCTGAAACGTGGAGAACTACTATATCCATCGTCAAGAAGGTATAAGTATTTATAAACAGTTGTCTACGCAATATACTCAACATTCATTTGCCGGATACTATCATCAACAGCGTTTTATGGGAGAGGACAAATCAGCAGGTTCCAGATGAAGAGGAAATTAGGAAAAGACGTTGGAAGTGGATAGGACACACATTAAGGAAATCACCAATGTGCATCACGAAGCAATCCCTAACATGGTATGCTGAAGGGAAGCGGAAAAGAGGAAGGCCGAAGAACACATTACGCCGGGAAATAGAAGCAGATATGAAAACGATGAATGTTAACTGGAAAGAACTTGAAAGGATTGGTTGGGACAGGGTTGGGTGGAAAATGCTAGTGGTCAGCCCATGCTCCTCCACGAGAGGTAATAACCGTAAGAAATAAATGATGATTCTCAATATTCTAGTAAAAAAAATACTGGATAAATTCTTAAATTGACATGTTTTGAAGAATCTAATCGACTTTAGTAATACGAGACAAATATTCAACACAAATTAGTTTTCCTAATTAAAGGAAAAATGCAGTTAAAACTTAGAAACTATGGTAACATTTTGAAAGCTCTGGTTTACAGAAACACACTTAAATTTGATCAACCAAAATTTCTTCATTGAATCAGATCGGTCAAGAAATAAAATGCTATCAACAGATATTTTCGTACTAAAACAGAATATAAAGATGGTTTATATAATAAAGTGACTAAAATTAGTTAGCTGTTAAAAACTACAAACAATTGAGCAGCTGTATCTTTCTAGTATGATTTATTTGAGTTCGATCTTTGCTGAAGTTAGCGTATACACATGCCTGAATGCCACGCTAAGACATAATAGATGTTCTATTGCTTCTTGGTTTTCGACAATTGACTAGCTTTAATTACTAAATGATGTAACACATATATAAATAAAATAATTGTCGTAAACTTCTGATTCTGAAAATAATAAAATTGTCAATAAGGGTATTTGCGGAGGTCGTAATGTTTTCAATAGTTAAACGTTTGTGCACGAAACCGGAGGTCCTGGTTTCCGGCCTCACGTGCGCGACTTTGTGTACACACTGCTGGGAAGTCCCATACTAGGACGAAATAACCATCTGGTGCTCCCAGGTTGGTCTAGCTTAGACCAGCTCCTGAATTAAACTGTTAATAATAAAATTGTTTTTTTACTGGAAAATATTTAACTTGACTTACTTTTTTGTAAGCTTTAAATACATTGCATCTAAAGACGCTTGTCCTACTGTCTCTTGCTATATAGCTGAATATCTTCAAATCTTGTGAGTCGTGTGATACATAGAAAATTCTATAGTAAAATAAAATGGATGTTATGAAATTTTAGTGGACACTCAATAATTCTGTAAGTAATACATTGTATTATATAGAAAAGTCTGTTCGCAGAGTCATTTTTAAGGTAGCTAAATTTCTAAACTAAATCGTCCTGGTAAAATCTTTGATGAGCAGTAAACTTACTTACTTACGCCTGTTACCCCTCGTCGAGGAGCATAGGCAGCTCACTAGCATTCTCCATCCAACCATGTTCTGGGCGAAATGAGAAGTAAAATCAACTTATAATTAGGTAATTACAAATTAGTTAAAGCGTACCACCAATGAATAATAAATGATTCATAACTTTTAGTCTCGTGTACAAAAATTGTGATCACAAACACTTTTTGAAGTGACAATGACATTCAAATATTTCGCATAAATAATTTAGTTCGATGTAGTAAACATTACAGTCTAAATCTGAGCTTATAGGTTATTTATCACTTTTCAGGACCTCGATTTTAAATTCAACGTTTTGAAAAGGCCGCTTCAAGCTCATTAGCCTTTAGCTTATTTTTTAAATTCACATTGACTACTTATAAGTAGACTCAATTTCCATTCGAAAAATGTGCTAAAAAGATGTTTATCCTTACCTGTATATTGGATGATATAGCAAAAGATTTGATTGATGTATACAATCAAGCATAGATGTATCTCTTAATCCTAAACCAAGTAATCCACTGCCAGTAGCTGAAATTGCATCATAATCTCCAGTAATACCATTTGAATCTTTAACTGATGTTGTGTCAGTAGTTAAAATTTCACTGAATACTCGATTACCGGGATTTTGTGAAGATGAAATAAATGTTCGTGATACTGGCCAACGAATTCCAAACTGAATAATCAAAAAAAGAATAAAGCTACAAGATTATTAGCATTTACAAAGGCTAATTATTTTTAAGCTGAATATTATTGAAGTGAATATTAAAGTTAGAAGAGAAAATGTAGGGAGTCATTTTTCACCTCTTTCAACGATCAGATAAACAGACATGGCTGTTCGTTTATTAAAATCCTATAACGTCATTGATTTAAGGAAAACGTACGTTGACAGTATTCATCATTAAACTAATTATGCAATGAGTTATATTATACATTTTGATTGGGCACAACTATTTATCGGAGGATATGAGATTTAATGTAATAGTTCCGTAGCCTCACATTGTATGTTCATGTTCGTGATCCTGTTTGTTTTTAAACTGATACGTAAAATTCAATGGATCATATCACATATTTAACTAAAAGTCTGTTAATTATACTAATAATCGAGGTGTTGTATAGATAAGAGCATGAATACTTATTTTTCAAAGTTATTAAACTGTGTAAAGTTTCATAAGCAAAGATAGATAATAGCTGGCAGTGGAATACAGGGCGCTCGTTTCGTTCTCTTTGTGTAAATTTTCATTGATTTATAAGCATTTTACAAGGATGTTTTCATTTAGTTCAAGAAAACAAGGATTATAATGTAAACTGTAGCCTGGTTCCTTGGTTCAATATTATTGATATGAAATCCTTTCTCTAGCGTTGGTGCTTAACTTTAAAAACGTTCAATTATCCTACCACTTTTGCAAAATGAATTATTGGCTATTCTTGACATATATAAATATCCTAATCTATTTATACTGTGAATACGAATTGTCTTAAGGTGAATAACTTTCAAATATATTCACAAATGGATACAAGATCATTCTTCATTAGTTTGCTTATGTCACATGAAGAATTCATACTTTATGGTGATATCCTATGTGAAGTTTGTTGACTCATAATCAATAAACAAAAACAACAACAGTTCTTTTTAAAGCTTGTTACTATTACAAATTAGACTGATCCAACTATACGGTGTACTTCCAACCTTAACTTATGTTTACATATTGTCAATTTCACTACCTGAAATTTTATATATTACAAACCATCACACCATCAAAAGAACACTTATTCTTGTCAAATTATTGTCACTTAAACTTAAAACAGTCACTGTAAACATCTAAACAAACGAATAAAACTACATTACCAAAACAAATCAATATTTACATAACATATGATTTACTCTTCTTTTTGCATCCTGAAATCTTCCATTTAGTTGAATAGTATTTATAGAAAATGATTTTAGATGAAAATAACTATCATACTTTTCAATAAAATTTTATATAGTTGAGATCATGAGTGAGTTGAAGCTAAAACCATCATGGAAAACTAGGAAGCACTGGACGGCCATTTCGTCCTATTGTGGGACTCCTCGGCAGTGCGTATCCACGATCCCACTGAGGAGTCCCACAATAGGACGAAACTGTCTTCCAGTGTTTCCAGGTTTTTCATGATGGCTTTAGCTTCAATTGACTCATGATTTCAACCATATAAAATTACGAAAGAGCACGATTGTTCCCAGTCGTGTTCTGTTCACTACATTTAGTGTCGCTGCCAACCACGAAGAGGAAGGGTGCTGTTCTGAGGACGCCGCTGCGAGTCTGGGGTTGATGTGCCAGTTGGAGCAGTCTGGTGCGGAGAGGTGGCGTCGAGTGGAGTGTTCTGTCTGGGCGGCGTTGGCTGTAGCAGGTGCTGTCGACGGAGAGGAGCAGTGGGACGTGCGGCTGCTGGGCGGACATCGGATGTAGATGGCTCAGCAGGCCGGTGGAGTACGGGTGTTGAACGTCGCAGGTGCCGGGTGGATACGTATGTTGGTGCCCCGGCAGGTCGACGGAGCTATGGAGGTCAGCGCGCCGCAGACTCGACATTCTGACGGAGAGTTTGGCACAGACTGCAGTGAAAGAAGATAGTGGAGTGGCGAGCAGAACCACCGCATGATCGAATGCTTTAAAGGGGGAAGAGTGTGGTGTGGTCTACTTATATCCATATAAGTAGTATATGGTGTGGGTCGGACATAGAATGTATTTTGGCAGAAGACTGATGAGGAAAGAACTGAAATGAAGCGCAATCGTTTGGAAAATGCATGAGCAATGGAATAAGAAAAGAAACAGTGAAGATTGAAACAATTGATTGTTAATTTGCAAATTGACTGTTCATTGTTTGGTAATCAGAATTTACTGAGATAGTCTGTAATCTTTGCTTAAATACATTCGATTGTCCCCAGCTAGTGTTCTGTTCACTACAATATTCTTGTCATATCAGAATAAATTTTCAAAGATTAGATTTATATTCCGTTTATCAAATTGTACTAATGAAATAAGTAGACAGTGGCTTAATCTTATGGATTGATTGAAGGTTAAACAATAACATTGTTAGATTCCGGCTCGGTGGTCTAGAAGTTAAGCGTTCGCACGCTAGACCGATAGGCACTGTGTTGGAATTCCGAGAAGGGGTTCATGGATGTACACTGCTGAGGAGTAGTCCCACACTAGGACGAAACGGCTATCTAGTGACTTCAGGTTTTTCCTGGTTGTCTAGCATCAAATATATCATAAATTCAACTATTAAATTACTATAATCTCAAAAAAAATCACTTTTTAAAAATAAGTATTTGTTACACTAATAGAAATAATTTTCAACATAAACATGAATTTTTCATAGTTGAAATCATGAGTCAATTGAAGGTAGACAACCATGAAAAACCTCAAACCACTAGACGGCCGTTTCGTCTTATTATGGGACTCCTCCGCAGTGCGCATCCACGATCCCGCACTCGTTAGATTCGAACCCAGGACCTATCAGTCTGGCGCCAGAGCGCCTAACCATTAGACCACTGAACCGGCATCTGACGGTGTTAATGCCTAACTTCAACCAATCCACGAAGCCGAACAATCGCTCACCAATTGTTTTCAATGACTTGATATCTCACAACAGACCTGGTTGAGCTCCACAGACCATCCCTTCTGATTATAAACATGAGTACTATTTTATTTTATTTTTTCAATCAAAAGATAAAGGAGTTTCTCTGTTGTTTATTTCCCACTTCAACATTTCTGATATAGTTTAAGTAAAATTTATTCTCCCTTTCTATATTAGATTTCATATATATATATTTATATCCATAAACAAATGTTTATTTTTATTCATTATCCATTCATTTACTGATTATTGTCAATTGATTTATTGTATCCACTTTAGAATAGTTTGTTATATTCATATAACTATATATATATACTTTTCTATTCCATTCCCTATATATTCAATTATCCAAATGTAATTACATCCAAATTAGCGTACAAAGTTGATATATGTATATAAGTAGTATTAGTTAGTAATATATAAGTAGTATTATTCAGTATATATATATATATGTATATTCATTGGTCAACTGGCCTAAACAATTAAGTAGTATGAAGGTATATCTCTTGAAAGAAAAAAAACATTCACCTCTTGAAAATTGAATTATTATTTGATTTCATCTTTGGATTTCTTTTTATTATTATTATTATTATTATCATCGTCATCACTGTTTTTCTCTCTCTTTATTTTTCTTCTTTCAATTCTCAAGGGGATATTCCCCCCGGAAAATTGTTCTTTATCAATATTATTATTATGGTTATATATATATAGATAGATAGATAGATACCAACTTTACTCTTTCATTTTCATATTATTTTCAATGTTCCAATTCAATTAGATTGAATTTATATTTAAATGTTACCTATTACTTTTTACCTTTGAAATAAGTTAAATTCAATAATGAATGTTGCTCATTTGATATAATTATAAACTGATGATTAGAATAGACTCAATTATATAAGCATATATAAACAAAATATATAATTTTTATTAATATATTTAGTGTAGACATTTTCTATCTAAAATTTGAGTTGCTGAATTATACTACTTATATTAGTAATACTCTTTACACTAAATTGTTTATCTCATCAAATATAATTGAATTTCCATTACAAACTGTTTATTAATAAGAATGTGTAGTCCGTTATTATTATTACTATTACTCAAGTATGTATAAGAAAGAAAGATAAACTTAAGAAATAGGTAAATATAAAGAATGATTTGTTTAAGAACGTCAACACTAATAGTTACTAAATAGATTTCACACTTCATTTTCATTCAGTCTAATTTAATTTACTCGGAAAGAAAAAAACCGAATGTAAAATACATTAATAATCATATTTGATATAAGTTTTTTATGCCTATGGCAATTCATTTATTATTGAATAAAGATTAAAGAAAAATTATTTTATAAAAGAATTCTTATTCAACTTTACCTCTATAATAAGACCAAAAAAAATGACGTAATATTTAGTGGTTAAAAGAAGGGAAGGAAAATCATTAGGAAACAATTAAACAGTTTATAGCTATTTGAATAGTTTAGTAGAGATTTGTTTTTCAAATTAAGGTAAAACCGACTTTTCATTAATAGTTTAAACGATATGAAAATGATTTAACATTCATTATATCAATTGACTACAATTCCTGTTCTTTTATATAGTTAAGATCATTAGTCAATTGAAGCTAGACTACCATGGAAAACCTGGAGGCACTGGACGGTCGTTTCATCTTATGGTGAGACTCCTCAGAAGTGCTTATCCATCATACTGCCTCGCGATATTTGAATCCAGGATCTACCAGTCTCGCGTCAGAGCATTTGACCGATAGACCTACAATTCCTGTTATTATATAGTTAAACAGTCCTTCAATATAAGTCTAGTTATTCAGCTCTCTAAGTAAACTAGAACACATTACGATCAAACAAGTAAAAATCGTTATTATTGTGAAAATCTATGCTTGCAGATTACATTACTATAAGGTTGGTATCACCCATATAACGGAATCAGTATATTTCAGTGTAAACTGAAAAAAGAACTATCAAATCATAATTAAAAAGGACCACAGAAGTTTACTGGGTTTTAAGTAAATCTACAAACTTTTGTGAGTAAATTACCA